ATCAGTAAATATTTATAATAATCATTAATTTAAATTCAGTCGTCCTTTAAAAGATCACTTATTTAAAAAGAAAAACACTTGATTTAATATTATTTTCTTTTAGCTTCAATAACAAATACAAGTACAACAATTTTAACATCAACAACAACTTATCGTAATAAACCTTCAATGGCTGAATCAGATAAAGATGATGGTTCAAAAAATCTTTTTTTTGTAAAAATTCATACATTTTTTAATTCAATTACATTAATTCATTTAATTTATTTATTTATTGCATTTCTATTTTTTCTTCTTGGTATATGTTATTCAACATTAGCTATGCGTGGTGAAGGTATAAATACATCTTCAAAAAAATCATTAAATTTAAATCCATTATCATTATTATTTGGTAATTCTCATCGAATAACAAATAATTCAACTAATTCAATATCATTATTATCAGATCGTTCTTCACTTAAATTTGTTTTACTTCTTATAATATTTTATTTTATAATGACTGGTATTGAAAGTTCATGTATTTATTTAACATATATATTTGGTAGTGCATTAAAATTTCAATCATATCAATGTTTATTAATACAATTTTTATTTATATTTGGTCTTATATTAGGACGTTTAATTGATATATTAATGAATTATGGTTGTTTTTTATTTAATACACGTATAACAAATCGAACAAAAAAACAATCAGATAAATTTCATTTAATATCAATTAAATTTTGTATACTTATACGTTTAATATTATTATTATTAATATGTTCAACATTAAGTTTTTCACATTTATTTCAAGATAATTCAACAACAAAATCATCTATACCATCCATACGTATGTTTTATTTTATATTTTTTTTTATTGGATTATTAATAGCATCATTACCAACATTAATACTATTTTGGATTGAACGTGATTTAAGTTTAAATGATTCACTTATACATTTTATATTAATAACAATAACAATAAGTGAAATTATATTACCATCATTTTTATTTTATACAATAAAACATGTTGTTTTATCATATGTATTTTATTTATTTATTGGTTCATGTTTATTACTTATTTTATTTATGTTTATTCTATATACAAGTAAACAATGGCAACGAAAACAATTATATAGAATATTACCAACATCAATGGAAATGGATGAAGTTAATATAGAAAATCATTCGGATAATAATGATGATGATAATAATAATAATAATAATTATTATTTAAATAATGGACGTATGAATTTAAATGAATCGAAAATAAATTTAGATAATGAAAGAAGTAAAGGACTCAAAGGACATTGATATAGTGAAAAACAATATATTTATATATATAAATATAGATATCTATTGTTACTTGTTAATAATAATACAAAACTTTTCTTTTGTTTTCTTTTCTTTTTCAATTTTTCTCATTTATATTTATTTCATTTACTTGACCGGTGGAGAATGTTGTTTTCTTTTTTGTTACATGAAAAAAAAACAAGATACATTCAATTTGATTTTGTGAACTATAAAAGAAAGACAAATAGGTTAATTAATTGTTTTAAATGTAAACAGATTTAAGTATTATGACAAATTTTTTGATGTAGAAATAATTTTTATAAAAGACTAACCTTCATATTCAATGAAGTATAGTTATTTGATTTACATGTGCATACAATTTTTTGATTATCTTTGTAAATATTATTTTGAGATGATTAATTCTTGTTGTCATACAAGATAATCTAAATTAGACATGTACGGTAAAGATATAACCTGCCAGTAAATCAATTTTTATCGACCTGCCATATTTATTCTTTTAATCTTATTATCTTATCAGAGATATGTGATGAAACTTTTAAATTTCAAACGGATCAGTTTCATCTCTGATGTGCATGACCAAAACATAAAACTTTATCAAGAAGGGAAGTCGAAATTAAATGATATCTTTAATTCTTAAGAGAATTTCTTCAGTTGTTAAATAGCTTTTCGACTGAAACAATGTTTTTTTTGATGAGTATTAGTCGATAATAAAAAAATTCTAGAATGGTTTGGTTGTCTGAATCTTCATTCTTGAAGTATCAAAACTTAATTGAATTTTCCGACGAAAAGTTTTGATCACATTCAGATCACGTGAGAGTTTGTGACTTCAAACTTTTCATAAATAAACTTTTCTATGAGACTAGTTCATTGGAAAATTTGTAACTGATATTCGAAATGCTCTCATGTGTAAAAGCAAATCATGTTCATATATTTACATTTACAACAAGAAAAATATAAGGAAAACTATAACTTACACAATCAATTAGTCTCACTAAGAACTTTATTCGTGCATAGTATAAAATCAAAACTCTCATGTGACTTGAGAAGGACCAAAACTTTTCATTGAAAAACTTGGTAAAATTACGATATTTCAAGAATAAAGGATCCGAAAAATTAAATCATTCTGTTTTTTTTTTCTATCAATCATTTAGATGTCAATGCGAGTGTAGATATCCTCTCATACACATATACTACATCGTTCTATGAATCTAAGATTTCTATTGAAGATTCTAATTAGTTTAAATATTGTAGATTTTTGGTATTCAACGTAGTGAAAAGATTTTATTGTAGGTATCAATCAGTAGGGTGATGGTATTACTGATCTAGCAGAGTCAGAGCAAGACGGACATGAAACAGTATGAACTAGTTGAATGTTTCATTTAGGCAAAACTCACAAGTATATGTCAAAGTTTGTCAAGAGAAGGGATGGTGTGTTCGAAAATTTATTGAAGGATCAAAGCAACATGTATCACATGCTAATATGACAGTTGATCTGACGGAACGAACAATAAAATTATCTTTGCCACTTTCTATGACATCTATCATATATATTATCATAAGGAGAAAATATGTTATGTATTGAAGATATGTCCAGCAATATAAATAAGTTGTCCTTATTATAACGAATTTAAATGATTCTTATCAATTGGTAGCATAGTAATTAATTCTAAATACAAACATTTTCAAAATAATAAACTTTTAGAGTACGCGCATCAACGATACAAATTTGATTTTATTCATTTATTTAGCATTATTTTTTTCAAATTAATTATTTTCACTCCTCCAACAATATACTATAGGATTATAACAGTTAGAGAGTTGATGAATTACACACTTTGATCTCTCACATAAGATCGCACTGACAGGCATTTTTATTTTGGTACCAGTGATAGTCCACTCTGTAACTTATTTGTATATCTTGACGAAAGATTATTTAAAAATAAAAATGGTTTATTTACCTTCGAGAGTAAAATACATTGCTTAGAAACAAGCAAATGTCTAACGAACGAAAGCAGCAAAGAATTTAAATTTTTTATTTACACAAAATCATTTTACTTTTCTATTCATAGTAAAAAAAAAAGAAAAAAGAAACGTATGACTCGACAAAACCGTTTATTCCTAACCATTTGTTTGTTTTCTATTTTATTGATCTCTTTTTATTATATGATATTATTTAATCATACTAATGAAAAATCTTTAGTAATATTTAATAAACAATCCTATCGAGGATGTATTGTAACATTAATACGAAGTGATAATCTTGTTAGTTTAAATAAATTATTAAATATGCTTAATTCTCTTCGTTTATATTTTAAAAATATTGATTATTATACAATATATTTATTTCATGAATCAACATTAACATATGAAACTAAAAAACAAATATTATATTGTTCATCAAAATTGAAAATAAAATTTTATGAAATTTATTTTAATGTAATAATTCCATCAAATCGTTCTGGTTATGCATCAATGTGTCAATTTTGGTCATATGATATTTGGTTTAAATATAATTATTTAAAAAATCAATGTGATTATGTTATGAGATTTGATGATGATTCTTATTTAATTAATTTTACTCAATATGATTTATTTGAAGAATTTCATAAAAATCAACTTGATTATGCATATAGAATCATATATCATGATAATAATGGTTTAGATTTTCTTCAAAAAAATCTTGAAGAATTTTTACCAAAAAATCAAACTCGACGTAGTTGTATACAAAGTTTATGTACAAATTTAAATGGACCTTATGGTTATGATGGTTTAGCTATTTATAATAATTTTTTTATTATTCGTCTTAATTTAATTTATGAAAATTCAATTATAGAAAAATATTTAAAACAATTAATATCAATAAATGCATTTTATCGTTATCGTATTGGTGATGCAAATGTTCAAACAATATGTTTATTACTTATTGAAAAACCATTAAAAGTATCATTTTTCAAATTTCCTTATAATCATAATGCACATGGTTCATTATATTCACATCCATCATTTATTTTTTATGAAGGTACATCATTTATGTGGCATTATCAAATGAAAATACCAAATATAACATGTAACAAATTATTTATTGCAACAAAATATAATCTGATAATGAAAAATCTTTAGAAAGATGAATAAATAATATTAATAAAAAATATATTAAACTCTATCTAAGAAGTGTATGTAGTTGTTAAGTGTTAGTTCAAAATCATTTTGTTTGTGTTGGTACATCACAGTAGTCTACAACTACATGACCTTAATGAATTAGATTATATCCAATAATTGAAAAATATAAAGATTTATATTATGTAAATCATTGAAACTAATTAATATTGGCAATATCAATTGAATAAACATGTATTTTTAACAAACTTTTCACTTTAACTACATTTGTTCTTCACGATTTTGTTTAAAAACAATTGGATATCAAACAAAATGATTATGTTCATGATATATATATTGGAAATGAATAAAACCAATGAGTAAAATATTTGATATAAATAGTTTGTTGATATAGATATCAATGCTTCATATTAATGATAAGAACATTTTAAAATAATTTTTCTTTTCTTTCTTTACTTTATATTATTGCGCAGTAGAAGAAAAATAATATTCACATATTTATTTAAAGATAAAAAAAAAAAAAAATAATATTTTTTTCCGCATTAAAGAAAAAGAATCTACTAGAAAACAAACAACTTGATTAATTGATTGATTTAATGCATAAATTTAACAATAAAAATGGATGTAACAATTAAAACAATAAATGATGAACTTTCACACAGAATAGAAGCACCACTATGACTTTTAGTAGTCGTTTTTGGAGGTTCTGCTGTTGTAGATATTGTTGTTGGAAGTGGTGTTATTGTAGTTGTAAGTGTTGTTTGTGGTGACGTTTGACGGGTACTATTAGTACTTCCTGGAGTTGTTGTAGTACTAATTGTGACAGTTATGTTTCCAATTGATGTAGTTTCTGTTGAAGTTGTAGTAATTGTAACGGTTATATTTCCAGTAGTTGCAGTTGTAGAAGATGTAGTTGTTGTCAATATTGATGGAGTCGTAATAGTTGTAGTTGTAGGAACCGGCCATGGTGTTGAAGGAAGAGTTGTTGGTGTTGTTGTTTCATTAATAACTCTTATATCCTTGCAATCATATTTGAGTTTACCTGTAGTTGGACTATCACAGGATAATGGAAAACTTTTCTTGCAAGCTTCCAGACAAGAAGTACCATCACAAGATGAAATTTCGATGCTACCTTCGAATAATGGATCACAACCTGAACCATCACAACAGGAACATGTACAAAAACCATAAGCATTTATTGTTGGTACACATATGGTGACTACTAGACTGATGAGTAGAAGAAGAAGAAGATAGTTGTTGAACATTTCGAATTTGTTTTTGTATATAAAAAGTAACTTATGAGTAACACACAAAAATAAAATAAATTTATACTTCTTATATATATTGCAAAGTGTTGATGCAAGATAAAAAGAAGATAGAGAAGTAGAGTGAGAGAGAAGATAAGATGAATTCTTTTGTTAACAGAGAAAACATTGTTTTTATGTCTTTAGTCATTAATGGAACTGACTCATTGTTTTATCATCTCTACATAAAAATAGCATAGACGAAATGAAGCGCATACATTTAATGAATGATGTCATATTCGAAATCTGAAAGTTTGATGATTCTTACAAATTAAATTTGCATCATTCTTATCATAGTAAGATAATCAAGTTCATAATTGAAGCTATTAGATGATGGTTTTTTATTGCATAAAAATAAATTATTATTGAAGCATTTTTGAAATGCAGAACTTTTCAAAACTCTAAATTCTTTCAATATCTCAATCATTTCTGATGATATTTTATTTAGAAAAATTTCAATTCCTAAATATGATTTCTTGATATTTTTATTTGGAGGATTTTTCTAATAATATTTCTATGGTCAAGTCTTATATGGCAAAAATGTATTCATTGAAAGTATGGTCTTCAAAGATTCTATCATATTTTCTATCACAAACGGAAAATTGAACATGATAATGAATTTATGCTGTGTGATATCTATCATGTCAAATGATTGTTTCTTGGAGAAATCAGTTTTCATTAGAACGAAAAGATATTTGTGTCAAGGATAGTTAGAAGTGCTGTGAAAATTTTGTATATAAAACATAGTTATATAGACTTCGTTGAAAACTTTAAAATAATTAGATCGCTAGATTTATTGGAATTGTTTATGATTTTTATTATAATAATTAATAAAACACTAACATTCACTTCATTCAGAACTGATTTCGAATGTTTAATATCATATATATAATGTACATCAGAGATGATAATTATTAATTTTCGTTCTAAACAAGACTATTATCAATTCATCATAATAATGAGATATTTTTAATAAATTCTAGCCAACTAGTTTCTAGTTGGAATTGTAACTTTAATTATTTATACTACTTTGAATAAGAAGCGCATCATAACTTAGTTATATGTTATTTATCAATCAGATCATTACTTTATAATCAAATATTATTTATTGCTTGACTCTTATCGAGTGATTAAATCATCTAATTTGAATAAGATAGTATTCATGAATTCTTTAGAATCTTTTTTTCAAATAGCTTCTATATGACAGTACAATAGTGTCCAATATGAATCAAATTTTTGTGGCTTGGCTCGAGTTGAACACTACAGTATCATGCATTGAAATCAAGAAACATTAATTACTGCTTATGTTTCTATGATTTTGAACATTGTAATCATACTGCAATGAATATTCATTTTAAATGAACATACACATTGATTTACAATACTTTGTTCCAATGAATATCTTTTCAAAAAAAAGCCTCTAACTATATACAAAAAATTGTATGAGATATTGTTGCTTACATTTTTATTTATACTTAGTAATAATTATGAGTTTAGTTGTTAACAACCATAGTATCTGTAAGTTCGAAGAGAAATATGCGAAGACTAAGAATCTCAACAAGATAATTTATTAAGTGAAATTGTTGGTCCGAAAGCTATTACCAAAATAGGTTTGGATTCATATCCTTATTTGATAGAAATGTATAAGGCTTTTATTTTTAGTTAGTCAATTGACTGGTATTCCAGTGTCGAAAATGCTTCAAACAGAACATGATCGTTTATCAAATTTAAGTGAAAATTTACATAAAAAAATTGTTGAACAGGATAATGCTATTGACACTGTTGTTAAAGCTATTCTAAAAAGTACCCATGTCATAAAAATCGGATCAGTTTTAGCGGTAAACCGCGGTTTACCGCGGTTCACCATTAAAAAAACCGGTTAACCGGTAAGGAGCCGTTAAGTAAGAAAAACCACCGGTTTACCGCGGTAAACCGGAAAAAAGTAGCGGTTCACCGCGGTTCTCGCCAGTTAACCGCGGTTTTTCTATGTCAAGGAGCCGGTAACCGGACCGGTAAAACCGCGGTTAACCGCGGGTTTTTGCTCGGTTTTCATCACATGGGTAGACATGAGTCTTTAACATCAAATCAATCAATCAATTCATTTTTATTTTCGGGTTACATTATTTAAATTATAACATCAAAATTTTATTCTATTTTTTTTTAAAGGACCAATTGGTGTTGGTAAAAAAGAATTAGCTAAAACATTAGCATTAGAATTTTTTGATTCAACACAATCGATAATTTATGTTGATATGAGTAAATATTCTGAAGTTGATTCGATTGCCCAATTAATTTATGCACCATCAGGTCAAAATAATTTTCAGTTTTTATTTTGTTTATCTTAATAATTTATTTATTAGATTATATCGATTATGGTTCATTAATAGCAGCTGTTCGACGAAAATCTTACGCCTTGATTATATTAGAGGACATTGAAAAAGCTCATCGACATATGTTGAATATTTTCTCACAAATTTTAACTGATGGTTATTTTATTGTAAGTTTTTTTTTTGCGAATTTAAGTATTCTATCAAATAAATTTTTAGAACAAAAACAGTCAAAAAGTCGATTTTAAAAATACAATTTTTATATTTACATTGAAAATAGATACACCATTTATTTTTGAAGAAAACGAAAATTCATTATCAACAACAGAAAATTTCGATGAAGCATCATTTCAAAGTATAAAAGATCATATGCTGAAACAAGTTTGTGTTCGTTTTTCAATAGATATAATAATGAAATGTAGTTGTATAGGTTCATTCATGTTTGCCATCGGAATTTTTGAATCGTTTGGATGGTATTGCATTCTTTCATACTCTTAACTCTAATCAACTTTCATCTATTGTTCATCTTCAATTAAAATCGTTGGAAGAACATTTGAAAGAACAAAATATTACAATAAATTGGACAGATAACGTTGTTCAATCAATTTTCAAAAAATCTTATAAGCCAGGTATTATATTGGAATAAAAACTTGCATCAGATTCATATTAAAAGAAATTTTTTAAATATAAATTGATTCGATTTAATTTACATTTTTTGTTTAACAAGATAGCTCATGGTGCTCGTCCACTAAGAGAATATTTCGAAAAACATATAGCAGCTGAATTTTCAAAATTTTTAAATGATATGAAAGTTGAACCAAATAATCATATTGCCATTGATATTGATTCTGATGATCAATATAAATTTCATATTCAAGAACCAACAAGTGCTAGTTAAACTTCTCCAACAAAACTAATATCTACTAGTAAATAAATCAGCCATTATATAAACTTGTTCAAGTAATTTTTTTCGAAGGTTAAGATAATCATCGAGCATTAGATAAGGACTCAAGTATACATGTTGATAACAACGAATAAAGTTTAGTTGAACAAAAATTGTATTAATTCATAGACACATAGCGTGTGCCTGTTTTTTTTTCTTTTTTCTATTTGTTATTTTCTTTTGTCTTCTGTTGTCGTTCACTATTTCTTACTTGGTTTATGATTTGACCTATTTTTGTTAAGTTTTCTTCATTGTGTTATTGTTCAATTTAAAAGAGAAGATGCCATCATCATCATTTTGAAGTACATCTTTTGACATGGTTGTTGATAGAAAAGTTATTTATTTCTTCTTCTTTCCAATTTGTTCTTTCTCTCTACTCTTGTATAAACATTTTCATTTTTACTCAAATAGATTATTATCATTTCTTATTCAAGAATTTGAAGGTCTCTTGAACGGTAGATATGACTATCGAAATCTGAAAATCAATTTAAGATTCAACTAATAAGGTATGGCAAAAAAGTTCGCGACAATTTTCATATCGATATAAATAGAAAAATTTCAGAGAACTTTTTTCAACAAATTATACCACAAGATGCAGCGTGAAAAGCTCTACAATTTGCAAAGAACAATGATAAAAAGATGGAATAAGAAAGAACAAGTTCATCTTGTACCAAAAAAAATATCGTTTTCATATGGTCGAAATTCGGTCGCTCAAAATATTGTCTATTTTGAAAACAAAAACCACAACTATAAAATAAGCTATCTTATGGATATTGTAGAGCTTCTCACGCTGCATCTTGTGGTATAATTTGTTGAAAAAAGTTCTCTGAAAATTTTCTCTTTTTATATCGATATGAAAATTGTCGCGAACGTTTTTGCCATACCTTATTTTACTGAACAGAAAATGATTTTGAACAAATACTTGATCTGTCGTCGAATTAGTGACAATTTACGATACTCTCCACTAGTCCATCGAGCATTATAAGCTCTATTTCGCAACAAGTCTACCCTTTTTTTCGAATATTTTTTTGCCATTTTCTATAGAAAACATGTTGCGCAATATACAGAAAATTCAGTTTGGGTCCTTCAAATTCTGAAATACAATAGAAGCTACACTACCGACTTTGGCATAAACGAAAGGACTCCTCCGACTCATGTTGATTTTTTAAAACTTGAACTACTAGACATTATGTTATATTAACATAGATTATTTTATTTAGCTTTGAATTCCCGATCTTCTGATATGTACCAATAAAAATATCAATGATATATTGAAACACAATTTAACATATCTTTATAGGATATTTTTTCTTGTTTTTTTTCTTCACGAAAAAGTATGTTTATGCTAAAAGTCGATATTAACTAACTTTTCCAAGGAAGTTTACTCGAATCTAAACTTTTAGGATTGTTGGTTTTACACACTAATGCGTTGAATACACACCAATGATTGTTGGCTAACATTCTTTTCGATAGACGAATGTGTAAAATTTTTTTTTCGAGAATGCTACAAGGAGTTTGTTTCAACAATAGTATTCAAGTATTTTTTTTCAAATTTCTCTTATCATTATTTTTTTGACCCTTGAATATATGCTTGACGGTCCTCTTTGTCTCTGTGAATTAAGAAGTTTCAATCTGTTAATTTTTCCTCAGAAAGATTTGCGTAAGGGTGTGTATAAGCAGGAACTATTCCAAACTCGTATACTTTTTTCTATTCATGATACAGAAAAAGTGTGTCGCCTTCTGCCATTTCGTTTAGATAAGGATAGTGTTTCTCAGTATGATACTTTTTGAAGTGTTGTCAATGTGATGTTAAACGACTTTGGATACGATCCTTGATAATTATTGTAAGTTTTGTTATTGTTAATCATAGAAGTACACGTTGGATCACTCGTATAAAATGGTGTGTGTGATTAAAGTGCTAAGTAGCAAAATGTGACAAATAATCTTAAAGAAATTGATATGAGAGTGGTGTCAATTGTACAAATAAATAGCTTTTTGCATACTAATCATTTTTGTTAAGTGACACATGTGCTCTTGTTTTTTCTTCTTTTCGTTCGCTTGTTTATGTCACCTTTTTCTCATCTTGCATTACATTTAATTATGCATAGAGTATATGCAAATGCGTTCACCCTAACATTATAAAAGACAGCCTCATTCGATGATCTACTTGTTTTCTTAATGGAAAAAATTGCCATTTTTCGCATGAAGAAAAATGCGTGAGAGTATGAAAGCGGGTATACGAATAACGACACAAAAGAAATCAATCGAAACCTAATACTTTGTAAAGACTAAAAAAAACAGAAACAACGAAGATTTAAGAGAAATTAATGTACATCTAGGTCTCAGTTCGATCACTCTGATGTGGGTGTGGGTGTGGGCGTTAGTGTGGGTCTGGGTAAAAGTGTCTTCTATTCATGCTCACTGCGACACTCACATCTTTACACCCACACCCACACCCTCAGGTGTTCAATCACCCAGTTCTTGAGAAAGAAACTCGTTAGCAGACTTAACTATCATAAAAAAGAACCAGTTCATAGACGTAGAATCTGGCAAAAGTCTACTCGTGAAAACGAATTCCATGATGAGATTGGAATTTTAACTATTCAATGCAACTTCCACTTAACGTAAAAACTTAATGGGAAAACTTTCAAAAGCTTTCTGGCAGAGGTGCATCATCAGTCTTTGTTTTTCTTTTTGAAATAATTTTTCTCGTAAACAACGAGACTAAAGTTTGTGCGTTATTTGTCTCATATCAGGATTGAAAGCTTTTACAACAGTGAGTATGTCTCGAAGTAGTTGTGGTGTACAATTGAGCTATGTGTTAATTGGAATTGAAAATACCATCTAGGATAGTTATCGTTCTTCATCTGGCAGCGTTTTTCTGTTGACCATCTTCATCGTTGTGATAGATTGCATACTTCATATATTAATCGTAAAGAAAATTCAATGATGACAGTAGTTTACTAACCGAAAACACTTTTACTCCCGTAACTCTCATATTATATATACATCACGGCGAGGGAGCGCGAAGCGCCCCCCGAAGAGCCGTAACCCATGCTCGTCTCTGTGTACACAGCTAATCTATGAATGACTACGTGCTGTCTTATACGATAAACCTCTGAACGAGTACTGTGAACTTCAATTATCTGATGGCGGAATGGCAGGAAAGGACATTGATAAGTAAATGAAAGTTCTCCCTATCAGACTGTTCGACACTTATGGAAGAAAGATATGAACACGAAACGATTCTTCCGACGCAACACACCTTTTATTTTAGCATCGCGACGTGATGGCGCTTCGCGCCCCCTGAAGAGCCGCGTCTCATGCTAGCCTCTTGATAGGAAAGTCTCATCTCATTTATAATTTATAATTTTGTATTGCTTTTGGTGATTTGTCGCGTATTTATACACAAATCGTATCTAAACTGTAACTGATAGCGAAAAAGTTTTTTTAAATTTTTGTACTTTGATGGAGCCTGACATGTTTTATGGAATTTTCATTTATATTATAACTCGAATTAGGCAGCTACTCACAAAATGTTCAGTCAAACACGTGTTCGTTCGTCCAAAAAATAGATTGACATTTGTGCAAAGACTTTTGCATCGGATGTTAATATGATGAAGAAAAAAATACATAACACAAAAGTCAAATGGATGAAGTAGTAAATGCTTATCATAATATTGCTCACAAATTGAAATACTTACAGATAAATACGATAGGAAAGAAACAAGTACTTCACTATTACTAGTCCACGTATTAGGACTTGAATTTGTACAGTAGAGTTTCGCACGGCATGGAACAAACATTTTTTACAACTATCATTTTGAAATAGATGTCTTTCTCACCGAAATGTGAACTTGCTTATGATAAAATTATGAAATACAAAATGAAATGATGTGAGATTTGATACTATTAACGAAAATGATGGATGTGTTCAGAAAATTTTCTTTTTTATATTTGACGAGCATGAAGTTCCATGGAATGAATGGGATAGGGCGAGAAATTTTCCATCGCATTCCATTCTACGTGAAGCCATGTTCTACCTTCTTTCCTTTTCCTACTTCTCTTTGTAATCTTAAAATTTCAATAAACATTGTTTGCCATGTAAATCTCTTATTTTTACCGGCATAACTATATTTGGGGTTGCTATAGAAACGTATGCCATTACCTTTAGTCCTGATAGCTAAGGCTTGTAATGGTGGGAGAGTCGAAAAATTTCGACTTATATTTTACACTAACTATTTTCGTGAGTTTCAGAGAAAAATATTGTTTTCGTATTTTACATGCTAATACTCAATAAAACTCACAGGTAAAATAGTTAATATGAGTAGCTTGTTGACACAGACACCAATGTTTCATATGATAATGATAAGAATATTTCAAAGCAAGTTTTCTTTACTTTCTTTTTCTTCATATTAATGGACCATAGAAGAAAAATAATGTTCACACATTTATTTAAAGATAAAAACTATATTTTTTTTTTGTATAAAAAAGAATCCATTGGGAAAACATATTGGTTGATTGTTTGATTTAAAGCATAGTTTTAATGATAATAAGCATTGACGTAACAGCTAAAGCAAGTAATGATGGGCTTTCCCGAAGAATAAAAGCACCACTAGTGCTTTTAGTAGTAGTTGTTGAAGGTTGTGTTCTTGTAGTTGAGAATTATTCCATATTGTTGTATCATAATTCATATGTCTTGGTCAAAGATCAAGATGAGTAATATAGATTGATGTGATCATTATATCTGAATAGAAATATGAAATTGTTGGTGCATTTGTGGTTGTAGATGTTGATGAAGATTGAGGACTACTAGTAGTAGGTACTGTAACCGTTGTATTAGATGTAGTATCCGTAATTGTCGAAGTAGACGATGATGTTGAAAAAGTAGTTGTAGAACTTGATGAAGTCGTAAGAGTTGTTGTAATTATTTCGTCACAAAATGCGTCAATTAA